AAAGCAAAGGCTTTTCCTCCTCGTGCCTGTGGAGGAATGGCCATGTGCAAAAGCGTCCAAACGGCCCGGTTGCTAGTGTCATACAGATTGTGTCGTGTGTTTTTTCTGTCGTAAAACCCACTGCCTCGGCCTCTTTGCTCCGTTGGAACGCGATAGTCGGAAGTAGTGAAAATGGACAGGCTGTCAGCGCATGCATTAAACAGGAGTTGAGCTTTGCTTTGGGTTGAGGATGCAATTTGGGTCCACTTGGCCTTTGCGCCTCAAAAGGCTCCGACGTCGCGTCCGGACTGGACCTGGACTTGGTCTCAACGGGACAACTAACAGGTTGTGGAGGCGAGAATGGGTGAGACGGCGAGGCGAGGAGAGGCGGAAAGTGCAGCCGAGTCCAGACTGGATGAGAAAAACTTTTGGGACAATACGCCTTTCACTGGCTGCCCTAATGTTGATGCTGGGATACATTTCAGTTCGTGTGAAGAAGCGGGTGGAAGGGATTCGTGGATGATGCGTTGATGCAGACGTTCCTTTCACTTTGCCTCAAACCGATGCGGACGGTTGCCGATTAGCACCAGATTATAATTATCACTAAACCGACTGTGCATAAAAACGCACAATTGGGAAAAAATACTTTTTCGCATGTAAATAGAGCAGTCAATCAGTAGTATGACGTGCATTCACCCAATTTCGTTTAAGGTGATGAAGGAATGGCGGTCGAATTTTACCACAATCTGATGAGTAGAGCTGACGTTTCCACTCAATGTCACCCCCAGCGGGAGTCGAACCGTGACAGTGCAGAATGCCAGCTTGACACGTTAACCATTCGGCCACATTGCCACAGAGCAGATGTGAATTTCAAGGAAGGCTAGGTCTTTTCCCGTATCACATACTTTGGTGGGAATGTTGATGAAGCAAACGTATATTTGCTATAATAATAGACTACGTTACTTATTTTTCGTATTTAAGTAGAGTTTCAAGCCTATCAGTAAATCAGTAATATGAGACAGTAAACTGGAGACCTAGTTACTCAACTCGTAAGTCAAAAATTATTTCGTTTTTGGAAAGGCAAATTTATGAATTTTTTTCATCCAATTATTCATACTGAATGAAAGTCCAGTTGTATGAAGTTATTCAAGGATCTTTCAAAGTCCAACCTTTCTTCAAATCTATCAAGAGCGATTTTATCATTTCTTTCTATGCTATTTTGGCAGCAATAATTTATATAAGAGTAGGGTTTCGAGACTACCAGTAAATCAGTATTCACCCTATTTCGTATAAGGTCATGAAGGAATGGTAGTCGAATTTTCCCACAATCATGTGAGTAGATCTG